TGCACCCATTGACATACTCCAAGCACTCAGCTCGCACAGATGGCCAGTGCTAGTTCATGTTCTCCCTCCACATTCATGGCATGTAGGCCACATGTAGGCATGACAAGTGAAACATAAGTTCCTATCATGCCTCTCAATGTTATTATGTTCACAGTTCAGCAATGTCCAAGCCGTAATCAGCCATCATACACCTCCCATATAGCTTGACCCCAGCTGAATGGCCAATCTTTGGGCCTATGCTTGTTATACACATATCCATAATTGGCAAGCCCCCCAGTACCCAAAGATTAGAACAGTTTAAAACAGCCTATCTGCCAGGCTCATGCACTTTCAGCATGCACTCATACATGTTGGTTAACCCGCGCCCTGCTGGGGGGGTGTTTGAACACCCCCCCTTGTGGTTTTTCGCGAATATCTCAAAAACGGCGGCGCGGAGCGCCGCCGTTTTTGGCACACCTTATCATACATCAATTCTACACATGTTGTGAAAATTTCAGACCAAGGTCATTCAAGGTCAGGTCACCAGGTCACTTGAAGTGACCTCACCTCATAAAAAGTTTCAATGTCTGTCATAGCTACACCGAGTGACCGATCGCTTTTAAACTTTCAGCGATTGCTAAGAGCAATAGCATGTACAAAATGTATATCTCAGAATTTTGATATCCGTGACCTAAGGTCAGGTCAATTTTGCGACCTCCCCATTATAAGTCAATGGGAGAAAATTGAAATGCGCCTCTTTTGGATGAAAGACATTATAAACACTCCCAAACACCGAATTACAAGTGGTTTAGACACACTGAACATGAAAATGGTGTCCGTGACCCTTGTTTATGCCCTGAGGTCATCTTAGGTCACGAATGGTATCTAACAGTTTTTCGCAAATAACTTTTGATAGAGGCATGCTAGAGCGATGAAAACGCCTTAGATGTGTTCAGCTCGACGATACGGATCGACTGATATGCAACATGACCCTTTCCGGTCAGGTCATGACCTTGACCTGAGGTCAAATTTTCAAGTTGACCTTTCAAGGTCAAGTTATAGTTCATTCGATGCGTCTTGACGAGAGGAACACGATGCCGGTAAAAGTAAGCTCGTACAGGGCTTGGGTCAAAAGTTATTGAAGAAAAACTGTTTCCGAAAAAATCGGCTATTTTTGCAGTTTTTGCCCCCTGCAGGCAAAACCGTTGACGTTAGGTCAAATCTGAGAGAATTACTCAGAAAGGGCGTTAATAGGGCTATCGAATGCGCTTTTCCGCGGCGCTGTAGCTCTATTGGTTCCCGAGTTATGCGTTGGCTTCTTGGAAATTTTCGCCATTCGACCTGGAAATCGGCGAAATTTTGCCTTCAATGACCTCTGGTGACCTGACCTTTGACCTGACCAAAAAAGTGACCGAAGTGATTTCGTCATTATTTTTGACGCTCTTTCGAACGCCGCCTTCTGCGTATCGCTACGTGGCCCAGGAGCCGAGTTACAAGGGGGGGGGGGTGTTCAAACACCCCCCCCCCCAGCAGGGCGTGGAAATCCAGGACCCCCAGCCGGGCGCGGGTTAAAACAGCCTTTCTGCCAGGCTCATGCTTCTGCAGCATGCACACATTCTTTTACACACACACATGCACTCACATAGTTCTACGCAGCTTCAATAGCTCATTGGCAAAGCTGGCAGAAATATGCCTGGGGGGGGGGGCTATTGTTTTTGCTCACATTCGGTAGCATCCGTTATTACTAGCAGCTGGGGTCAGCCATACAGCCATGGCATATAAGCATTTCACATTGCAGTAACCATGCATTTATGGTAGGTGGAGTTCACTTCAGCCATTTTACTATACTCTGTGCGCAGTCTGTGTGATTGTGAGCCATGCCAAAGTACTGCATCTCCTTAAACTCAGTATCTCAGATCAGCACATTTGCTCATTTCATGTTTCCTCTGGCCTTACCCCTCTGACGGTTTGTGTCTGATCGGATTTCAGCTATCTCCTCTAGGTCAGCTGTGCGCTTGACCACAAGGTCCCGTGGGATGGCCTGAAGGGTCTGGGACCTCAGAAATCTACCCTGGTTGGGGTGTTGGTCAGACTTATGCGGAGCAGCATCCATGGCATCCAGGATTTCCTGCTCATTGAACCATGGCTGGATCCTTGCATACCTTTTGTCAGTTGAGTTCCTTGCTAGGATGACTCCATTTTTGGTATGAAAGTTGAGGACCTGCTGCTTGGCACGCATGTCCCCCAAGTATTTGACCATGCGGGCTCTTTTGTCCGTCAAGTTTTCATGGACAGTGATTTTGTCTTTGAGGTCACCTGTCTGGTTGAATTTGGCCTGGTAAACTGCATCCCTGTCATCAAGATCCTGAAATTTGATGAGGATCCTTTTTTATTTCTTAGGCGGTGACATGTCGAGGTTGCCCCTTTCAGATTTATGTTGAGTTGTTCTTTGATGAGTTTGAGAGCTGTCTCACGGGTCTCTGCTGGAGACTCATCATGTCTCCCCTCTGGCACTCCCTCCCCACCTAGGATCAGTGAAGTTTTCCTGTTGTATTGCTCGGCCTCATCTAAAGCCCATTCCAGTTTGGTTATTTTTTTCACTCATTTTTTGTTCTCTGCTTGAAGAGCCATGATATCTCTTTTCATACCTGTTGTTTCCTTTTCCACTGCCTCTGCTATGAGAGCACTAACCTGATCCATGGTCACAACTGTCATGTTGTCAGCGTCCTAGACCTCCAAAACTTATTTCCTACAGCCTATTCAAAAAGAAAGACAAACGTGACGCTTGCGTGGCGCTATGTTTATCAGAGTCTGGCTTCTTAAATGGAATGAATAGGAACTGAGAAAGGAAAAACAATTTAAGTCTACTCACGCAATCACTTATTTGTCAAAACTAATGATTCAACAGCCACTATCTCGCAAATACTCCCGTCAATCAGCTGCGCCGCAATCGCCGAAGTACGGACAGGTCCCACTCGTGCGAGCGCCGCGAACGAAGTGACTTAAACTATACTTAAACTAAACTATAAGCTAAAATAAGTTAAAAAGGAAAACAAAAACTTTTTTAAAAATATGACCCGAAACTAACTACTGTTTTGTATGACCTGCAGGATTGGGTATTAGACCCCGGTCTAGCCTGATCCAACCCGGTCCAACCTGGTTCGGCATCCTCATTTACCTTCGGCCTTGGCCTCGTGACATTCACAGACGTCAGACATCCATCCAACAACTTTGGCCGAAACACTATCCAGCAAGCTGCGCAGGGACGCAGGGCGACGGGTGCTCGTAGCGTTGGGGCTGGGTGATCTGTGTGCCGAGTGCGATGTCGTGGGTTCAAGCCCCACCCGGTTCTGGTTTTATCTAGACACTAATCAAAACCTTTCCTCCTACTGCAACACTGACAAGCACGGTGATTTATCTTTCGTATATCGTTAACGAACCCAAGGCGGAAAGCATTTTCTTCTCGATTGATGTTGTTAACCTATATGGAAGTATACCAATAAATGAGGCCATAGACGCAGTAAGAGAAAAACTAGACGAGCATGGAGATAAGATCGACACATTTGGGTTGACAAAAGATGACATTTCCCGCCTGCTGGAACAAAGCCTTGGAGACAACGTCTTCTCCTTCAACAATGACTACTTCCGACAAAAAGTAGGCATCGCTATGGGGAACCCCTGCGCTCCGCCTCTGGCCATTTTATTCCTCGATCGTTTTGAAACCAAAGCCCTTGCGAACTCCCCTTTGAAACCAGCGTTCCTAGCCCGGTATACAGGGGCGCGGGAACTACTTTCCGACTGGGGGGGGGGGGGGCACACCATAATAGAGATCAACCTAGGGTACCCCCAAATCTAGTTTTCTCACCGGTTTCAGGCCACTTGTTTTTCATCCCTCGGCTTTTTCAACAAAAAAGAAAACATTCGCAAAAAAGTGTGGTATTCCGTCTCAAAGCTGTGGTGGCACCGCCCCCACGGCCCCAGAGTTGGGGGGGGGGGGGGCAAGCTACCCCCACTGCCCCCCGGCTCCCGCGCCTATGCCGGTATATAGATGATTATGCGGGAATCTGGAACCACGGACAGAAGGCATTGGACGATTTTTCAGCGTTCCTCAACAACCAACATCCTAACATATCCTTTACTATGGAGCACAGTAGTCATGGAGTGGGGGTGCCCTTCTTGGACACCTACGTAACCGTAGAGACCCGTGGTGCAAAAACAACGCTGGAAACAGAACTTTTCATCAAGCCAACAAATTCTGGTATCATTCTGCACTCCTCATCGGCACATCCTCAAAGTATTAAGCATAACATTATTCGAAACATGTTTCATAGGGCATTTAACAACTCTTCCAGTAAGGAAAAAGAAATCAGAAGCGTCAACAAGATCTGGCAGTTACTTTTAGAGAACGGATATCCTCCGAAACTGTTAAGGAGACTTCTCAGAGAGGTATAATGGTCAAGGTCAAGAAGGGGTAGAGAGCCACGGAACAAGAGCGGAGGGGGAAACAAGAAAGGGACGGACGAGATAGACGGAGATAGACGTTGCCGTTCATTGACGAGCAACTATCACGGAAAATCAAATCTATCGTGAGAAAATCAAACCTACGCGTACATATAGCATGGAAAAACGAAAACAAACTAAAGAACGCCCTAACAAAATCAGCCATATGCAAACCCAAATGTCCAGGGGGCCAGAGATGTCACTTGACACTTGTGCATGTGTAGCACGCTACATCTTGAACATCTAACGTAGTATCTTTTCGGCACGGCCGGCCCGGTGACGCGCAGCTGAGCAGAGCGCTGCCGCACGCTTCCCTCCCTTGTCATTATTCCCTCCCTCCTCCCACCCGTCCCCAGGTCCACCCTCCCCAATCATTTTTCACTGTCCGCACAGAATGGGCCGCCATTAAACTCCAATTAAGACAAGCACCTCTGAAGACAGTCACATCAGGATGAGTCATTGGTAGTCATTACAAAGCAGCTGAAGCTGTTCAGAATAAAATTGTAAGAGCTGAAGTCTCTGTATTCCTCTTGAACAGTCCCAACACGGCGCCGCCACCACAGCACTGGGCGGGGCCGGGGCACAACACAGAATGACACGTCAACACTGCGCAAAACTCACCACCCCAGCGCCCTCACCGTGCCCGCACTTCATCATGACGCCGGCAGATGGCAGTACCATGCCAGCCGGGCACCCGAGTATCCGTGGCGGCCGACAATTCCCAACATACTCCCACCTGAGGATCTTGTCATCTCGTCACAAGGCCTCAATAACGTAACAAACACAATGCACTTACACTAAATGATACACGAAAGACGGCAATCGCGAATCAAACTTAACTAATAACGAGCCGGCGGCCGAGACACGCGACCCGAGCGGGTCCGATAGGACATCCTTTCGGCCGCTTGAACAGAGGGTACATTGCTTGACCTGTGAGCACGTGAGCGACTCACACCAGAACTGTCACAGGTACCACCAGATCCGTGATCGGTAACACTGAACCCGTCATCGGATCCGTCACGAGGGCTATCAGAGAGATCGGAGCCGGCATCTACAATCTCCAAGCGGTGCAGACGCTGAACAGCACACGTATACACACCTTTACACGTCCGCACATCAACACTCCTCACAATGCCGTCTTTACCAGGGTGCAGCCTCTCTACCGTTCCCCAGGGCCACTGCAAACGTGGCACGTTATCTCGGTGGATCATCACGACTGATCCCACCCGCAAACCACCTCTGGACTTGAAATTGGGAACGAGAGCAGGCAAGTTTCGGACATAATCCTCTCTCCACACCCGCCAGAACTGCTCTAGACGGGACCGACGGACAGACTCACGCTGGCAGAGTGAGCTCACAGACACATTCTCAGGATCCTCCACCACATCGGGGCCAAATACAGAACCACGACCGATCAGGAAATGATTCGGAGTCAAGGGTTCGTCACAGGCGCTGTCATCAGTCACAAATGTCAGTGGTCGGGAGTTAATGCACGACTCGATCTCGTGAAGGACTGTCTCCAGCTCAGCACGCGTGAGACACCTCCTGCCGAGAGCCTTACGCAGGCCGACCTTCACCGAGCGCACAAGCCGCTCCCACCATCCACCATACCAGGGTGCAGACGGCACGATGAACCTCCACTCGGGAGCCGAATCAGCCATGGTGTCTCTGAGACGAGCCGCACACGCCTTAAAAGTAGCAGCGTTGTCAGAATAGATGACAGCCGGCCATCCCCGTCTGGCGGCGAAACGCCTCAGCGCCATGACAAAAGCAGGCAGGGACAGCGCGTCAGTCAGCTCCAGATGGACGGCACGTGTGGTCCCACACGTGAAGAGACAGACATAGAACTTCTTCCCCGGCTGGTCCACGGAGAAGAGCGGGCCTGCAAAATCAATGCCCGTCACACTGAACGGAGACGACTCCGTCACCCGGACACGCGGCAGTGGGCCAGCCGGCTCACAACACGCTGGCGAGTCCTGTCTCTGGCATGCCAGACACTCACGCTTCACTGATTTGGCAATGCGCCGTGCCGACACAATCCAGTAAGTTCGGCGCAGTGCGCACAGCAGAGTGCCGACACCCGCGTGGCACATCAACCTGTGCTGGAAGCGAACGATAAGTCGAGACAGGTGACACTTCGGTAGGATGATCGGATGTTTCTCGTCAGCCGACAGATCAGACATCTGAAGGCGGCCTCTCCTGCGGAGCAGACCGTCCTCAGCCAGGTACGGGGCCAGTCTGTACAAAGGAGACGACCTGGACACCGCTTTACCCTGCTCAAGCGCCGAGTACTCGAAACGGTAACTGGCGCGCTGCGTCTGTTGAATCAGAACAGCCTTGGCCTGACAAAGCTCTTCATAGGATAGCTCAGCTGACAGATCACGGCTCTCAGGATGCCGCAGATTCAGAACAAAACGTCTCACCCACGCCGTGACACGAACGGCCTTTGTCAGCGAGCTCCACCGCTCCACGGGAAACACGCAGTCTCGAGATTCAGCACCAGGCTGAGACATCAGCACGACAGGCGGGATCAGCCCATCAGCACTCGCCTGAGTAGAGAGCACTCGGTCAGTGTCCTCTCTGTCCTCCGGCCCTTCGTTCACCAGTTCCTCGCTCACGAACAGCTGACTCTCGGCCGGTGGTCTACCCGAAGACAGAAGCCACTCCGGACCCCGCAGCCACAGTGACGAGCCGATCAGCTGATCCGCCATCAGACCCCTGGAGGCAGCGTCAGCAGGATTGTCAGTGCTACTGACGTGGCCCCAGCTGGACGGGTCGGTGAGCTCCTGAATCTCTCCCACTCGATTCCGGACAAACTGCTTCCACTTGGCTGGTGAGCTCCTCACCCACGCCAGCGCCACAGTGGAGTCGGTCCAGCAGAAAACCGGCACAGAGCTGGGCAGCTCCAGTGCGGTAGACACGTGACGTGCCAGGCGAGCCGCCAACAAACAGGCCAGCAGCTCCAGCCTGGGAAGGGTCACTGTCCTCACAGGCGCCACCCGAGCGCGCGCCATCACGAACGTCACGCCAAATCCTCCACTGGGGAGGCAGTAGCGCACATAGGACACACATCCGTAACCCTTCGTGCTGGCATCCGCAAACACATGAATCTCGAGACCCTGCACGTTAGACCAGCACACACCTTTCAACATGAAACACCTGGGAATCCTGACGCTGGGTAGCTCAGAAAGGCCTGCCACCCATCTGCGAAAGGTCTCGGACAGCTCATCACCGAGTGGCTCGTCCCACTCAAGACCAAGCAGCCACAACTGCTGGAACAGGACCTTGAGGACCATCAGAAATGGAACGAGAAATCCCAGCGGATCAAACATTCTAGCTAAAAAGCTAAGAAGTATTCGTTTGATAGGAACCACATCAGGTGGAATGTGTACTCCATCATAGCGCAGAACATCACTGGTCGGGTCCCAGCGGACACCTAGGATCTTCAACCTGTCCTCCTCAGAATACTGAGAGGCGTCAGCGCCATCAAGAACGACCTCACTGTTAGAGTGGCACTTACTGAGTGTCATGCCGGCCTGAGACAAGATCTCCTTCCCTTCCAGGAACAGCTGCTTGGCCGCTGCCTCTGTGTCGGCTCCTGTTAGCCAGTCGTCCACATAGAGGTTGTTCTGCAGCTCAGATACAACCGTCGAGTCAGACTGTGGACAGAGGCGTAAGTGATGTTTCACGGTCGCGTTCAGCAGAAAGGGTGAAGACGACACGCCAAAGGGGACGCGACAGAACCTCATGTGTCGCACCTGACCACCATCATCCCACAGGAAGCGCAGGCAGTCACGATCTTCGGGTCTCACTGACATCTGCAAGAATGCCTTACTGATGTCACCAGTCACTGCAAACTGGTGCCGCCTGAACCTAAGAAGTACATCAGTCAGGTTGGGAATCAGTGAGGGCCCAGTCTCCAGACAGTCATTCAAGGAGATGCCGTTAGCACCAGCGGCAGAGGCATCAAAGACCGGTCGAACTTTGGTACTAGAACTCTCAGGACGCAGAACAGGTCGATGAGGCATGTAATACGTCCTGCCGGAGGGGCCATCAACCTCACTCTCCGGAACCTCCTCAATGACACCACTATTCTCCATTTCACACAGAACATCATGATACTGAGAATGAAGCTCATCATCCCTGTCCAGTCTACGAGACAAACTCCTGAGACGGCTCTCAGCGGCTGGTAAGTTGGTCTGAAGCTCAGGAAGATAAGAATCCTCCTTCTTTGGAAGTGCCACCTCATACCTTCCCTTAACAAATCTGACTGAGGACTCAAACTGCTGCAGAACAGCATCATCATGCAGCGTCTCACCTTCTTTGGAGGAAACACCAATACCTTCCAGCTCCCAGAAGTTACGCAGCTCCCTCGGACTCAGGTCACCCAGACACAGAAGTCAGCAGGTCATCAGACTGGCACTGCAGTGCGCATCAGCAGCTGCTGCAGAGACCACCCAGCCGAAACACGAGTCCTGTGCGGTGAGACCAGATGAACTGATCACCATTCCCGACCTCATCATAGTCCAGTAACAGTCAAGTCCGATGAGGATGTCAACACAGAGGGTCCGATCAGTGAAACTGTCCTCTGCCAATGTCAGCTCATGGAAGTCAGCAAGGCATGACAGTGGCACACTGGGACGGGACAGTGGGGCACAAATAACTGGCACAGACACAGCAGCAAAGCTTTTCACTTCACAGCTGGGGACAGTGGCACCCTTCACAGACATTCTGTACACATTCCTATCACCACTGGAGGCTTTGCCACCACCAAAGGTAGCAAAACTCACAGGCTGGGAGCCCACCCACTCAGCACCAACACGTTTCACCAGTGACTCTGTGACATAGGTGCGATCGGAACCTGAATCAAACAGAGCAGTAGCCTCAACAACACCCTTGGAACCATACACTAGCACTTTAGCAGTGGGCAAGACTGTGCACTGCCTAGTACTGGTCATTTCCTCATCACCACAGGGCAAAGACACAGTCACAGGTGGACGGGATGCTCCAACACCAGCTGTGTCACTCAGGGGGTTGCTACTGCTTGCTGCAGACTGTGGCACACATGTCTCTCCCTGAAGGGGACACAAAACAAGATGATGTCTGCGTTTACAGGACACACAGCGTGCTGAACAGTGTCTGGCATGATGACCTACCTTTAAACATGCAAAGCAGAGACCAGTATCTTCTACTTTATCAACACGCTCAGGAACAGTTAAGCTGTCAAGAGCTCGACACTCAGCTGTGTGGTGTGTCTCGCTGCAGAGAGCACACTTGGGTGATGGTCTTGCAGTCCCTGGTCGTGAAGGTCTCGCTGCTGGAGATCTTGAAGGCAGATCATCAGCTCCAGCGGCTGCCCTCCGGCTGCCGCGAGCTGACGAGGCATGGAGAGCTGATGCAGCAGGTGGTCGGTAGGCTCTCCCCCCACGGGGAGCCCGGGCAGACTCCTCAGCACCAGCAGCTTCCACTGCAGATCCTGCTACTGTCCTGCAGCGCTCCTTCCTCTCGATTTCTTGCTTCAGACTCTCCAGGAGGTAAGAGAGGTCACCTTCACGCTCTGCAGAGTCTCGAGCCCACTCCAGTCGGAAGGACACTGGCAGCCTGCTCAGGATCAGTGGCGTGAGAATCACTCCGTACTGGTCACCAGTGATCCCGAGGCGTTCAAGGCTGCGAACATGGAGTAGCAGCTCATCTTGAATCATCTTGAGGTCCTTCTGGTCCTTGCTTCCCAGCTTCAGCAGCTTCTCGATGTGTGCAAAGATGATGGCTGCCGGTCTCGCAAACCTCTCCTTTAGCAGCTGGCAAGCAGTCACATAGTTGTCTTTGACCACTGCCAAGCCCTCAACACACTTGCGGGCTTCTCCCACCAACAGGGATCGAAGGTACACAAACTTTGAAACCTCGGGCAGGTCTGAACAGTCCACCGAGGCTTCAAATTGGTCCCAAAAGGCAGACCACTCAAGGATATCCCCACTAAACTGTGGTAGCTCCAGTTTTGGAAGTCTGACAGCCTGACTTGCTGAAGTACTTCCCACTTCATGAGCAGCTTCAGTCTGAGCCTTGGTTCTGAGCGCTCGAATCGCCCTGATGCGGCATTCAATGGCTTCATCTCTGGCTTCAGCAGCTTTGCCAACGTCTTCTTCCACCTCATCATCTGGAAGAACAAGCTCAATCTTTGCTTGGATTGCATCTAGGTTGGCCAAACGATTATCAAACTCTGAAATTATTAATTCCAGCTCCACAGCGTCCTGCGCCGAAATGGCCTTATCTAGTCTGATAATGGCGCGCTTCAGCCACCCACGTGCCGCTATTCGAGACCGCTTCAGCTCTTCCAAAGACATCTTGGGACTGACACTTAAGTCCCCGAGTTTCGGCACCAATGTTCAGAATAAAATTGTAAGAGCTGAAGTCTCTGTACGGCATCGGATACGCACGGCCAAGATCTACAATTTTTACTTAAGTCATTTTCAGGTCAGGTCAAAGATGACGTCACAGGGGTCGAAAAAGTCAAAATGGCGGCGCTAGATATGGAGAGTTTTTCTCGAATAACTTTCGAATTAGTCAAGATAGGAACAAACTAAGGGCATCATCGAGATCCTCTCGTCAATCCGCAACGAATGATATATATGTTGACCTCGAAAGGTCAAGGTCAAAGGTTGACCTCAGGTCACGTGACCTCGAGGTCATCATGTATATCATTCGATGCGTCTTGACGAGCTGAACACAATGAGACCGTCCACGCGTCTGTATCTTGTTCCTGTACGGAGTTATTGGCCAAAAACCTTTGGTGACCTTTGATGACGTCACAGGACCTCACAGCTGCCCAACAGCAAAACAGACCTCAAGGTAGTGAAGGTTGATCGTATATGAAGTCATGTATGGTATATGGGGCCATTCCGACCCGTTTTAGTGGTAAAAACAGGGAGTTGATTTTTCCCCCATTGACTTATAATGGGGAGGTCGCGAAATTGACCTGACCTTAGGTCACCGATATCAAAATTCCGAGATATAAAAATTGTTGCTACTAATGATCTTATAATATCCTGCGACTTTCAAAGGCCTCCGACATCTACCGTAGCTCTGGCACGGTGACAAAGTTGCAAAAAAGTGACTTGAGGTTGGGTCATTCAAAGTGACCTGGTGACCTGACCTTAAAAGGTAGAAGGTTCAAACTTGCACACCATGTGTAAAATTGATGAGGTTATAGTCATACCAAATTTCGCGGCGCTACGCGCCGCGGTTTTTTCGCTATTCGTGAAAAACCTCAGGGGGGCGGATATCCGCCCCCCCCCCGTCGGTGCGCGGGTTAAGTGCATGATATTTTTAGGGTGTATGATCAGATGTTTTGTTGATGTTTTGTTGTTCGATATTGTTGTACGATTTGATATCGATACGTTTATACGATCGAAAGCGATGCGAACCTCGAAATGTGATGTTAGCCCTGCATGACGACCACGAGACAAACGAATTTTGAATTTTTCACTTTCTACAGGCAGTCGACAATTGTTGCGCATTTCACTCGCTACTTTTGCCTTGTATGATTTAACGAATTCAATTTAGACGAAGGTCTGTGACCGAAATATCATCAATTCATCAATAAATAATCATTTTCATTCATTTGGTCATTTTCCGAGGAGAAGGTCATATATTCCAATGATACTTCTTGATTTATCTTTCCCCGATATCCTCTTAACAATGTCAAAATTTTCGCACCTATATACATATGTATATATCTATATGTATATCTATATGTATATTTATATAAATGTTTTGTTGAGTTTCATTAATTTTGTTTTGTCGTTTCTCTGGACACATTTCAACTCGTGATTCTTTTTGACCCGATAAAAAACCATCAAGGCTGAGTGTGCCAAAGAATGAAAGAAATTATGCAACTGAATAAAAATTTAGAAAGCCTAGGACATCATGAAAATACTGGCTGAAAATATAGGTCCTAGATTTCAATTATCATTTGATAACATTTTTGCTGCAAGTTTAGGGCATTGTGTCTCGCTTGCCCGTTTGTTTGAGATAAGTATTCCATTCAGTCGCATTCTTGGTGGCTTCACATGAACACTTGAACAGGATACCACCATACCGGAGTGAACGCACCCGCAACCAGCATCCCCTCCCCTCAGCCTCGGGCAGTTCCGGGCGGCTCACTCCCGGCGCTACGCACGCTCCACGCCGCGATAGCTGCTATCGCGGCGTGGAGCGTGCGTTACTCCTCGTGCGTGCGTTACTCCTCCCTCCTTCCCCACAATGACCGGTGACCTCACTTCCCTCGGGATTTGGACTCGCCCTACCCCGACCTTAGCGCCACGTGG